GAGAGAGAGAGAGAGAGAGAGAGAGAGAGAGAGAGAGAGAGAGAGAGAGAGAGAGAGAGAGAGAGAGAGAGAGAGAGAGAGAGAGAGAGAGAGAGAGAGAGAGAGAGCGAGAGCGAGCGAGAGAGAGAGAGCGTGTGTATGTATGTGAGGTGTTATTTCTTAATTTCATTATCATTTTTTTTGTGTGTGGGTCTTGGTGCGGGCTAGCGTGTGTTTGTGCGCATATATCCATTCGCCTTCTAACACAGAAGGGCCCAACAGCTCAAGTCGATAACGAAAGAAAAGCGAATTCCAAGCACAGCCTTCCTCCGTGAGCTTAAAACCGATGCACCGCGAGGAGCACCGCGACAAAGGCAGCGGCAAGCAGAAGTCATCAGCGCCTGCTTGCTGCTTGCTCGCGTTCCAGGTCAAATCTACCTCCCGGCCTGGAATTGGCGCCGTGCCTCAGGCCCTCGAACACACACGGTCTCTCGCTCCTTTCTAATCTGCTACGTATATAGTCGAATCAATGAATATAAAAATAGAATAAAATAAAAGAGAGAGAAAAAACAACAGAAAAACTAAAAACCGCGTGTTTAGGGAAAAAAAGACAAGTCAGCAAGGTGGGATGGAGAGGGAGAGAGGGGGGGATGGATGGAGGGATGGAGGGAGGAAGGGCGAAAGAGAAAGAGAGCGAGCGAGCGAGCAAACGAGAGAGAGAAAGAGAGAGAGAGAGAGAGAGAGAGAGAGAGAGAGAGAGAGAGAGAGAGAGAGAGAGAGAGAGAGAGAGAGAGAGAGAGAGAGAAGGGGTAAAGGAGAGGAGGGAGGGGGGAGTGAGAGAGAGAGAGAGAGAGAGAGAGAGAGAGAGAGAGAGAGAGAGAGAGAGAGAGAGAGAGAGAGAGAGAGAGAGAGAGAGAGAGAGAGAGAGAACAAAGAGAGAAACAGAGACCTAAACACAGAGGTAAATAGAGTAAAACAAAGAAACAAAGAAAATGAGAAAGAGAGAGAATAAGGAAAGGGCGAGGGAACGAACAGAAGAGTGAATTTAAAGGGCCAAGGGAGAAGGTAGGCGTTCAACAGGAGGAAATGGAAAGTGTCAAGGCGGACCTCGGCGTCAGGAGAGGCGCCGTCCCGCCCGCTGACCCGTGACGCTTCATGTCGCCTTTTTGTGGAACACTTGTCACATGCTGGCGCCCGACGAGGGAAGAAATGGGCGGCGATCAGGTGGTAGAGGGGGGGGGTTGACTGTGGTTGGTGAGGTGGTAGCTATTGTGAAGTGGTACTAATAGGTGAAGTGATACTAAGGCGATAGTGGAGTGATGGTCAAAGAAGTGATAGTGACTGGTGGTGTGAGAGACAGTGAAGTGATAAGTGAAAAACTAATAGATAAAGTATCTATTATCATTATTATTATCAATATGCCATCGTCATCATTATCATTATTTTGTTACTGTTTGTATTATCATTATTCTTATTTTCATAATTATTTTCGTCATTATCATCATCTTTGTCATCATCATCATTATTATCATTATTATTGTTAATATTATTATTATCATTATTATTTTCATTATCGTTATCGATATTTTCATTATTATTATCATTATTATTATCATCATTATTATTATCATTATTATTAGTATCATTATAGTATTAATTTATCATTATTATTTCTATTATAATTTTCATCATTATTGTTATAAACATTACTACTATTATTATCATCCTCATCCTCATTACGGTTATTGGTTTTACCACTGCTGTTCTTAGCGTTATTGTTGTTATCATTGCTGATTACTCATTATTGGTATTATAATTATTATTGATATTATAATCATTACTATTATCGTTAGTGTTGTTATTACCATTTCATTACTTTCATTCTCATCTTCATTGTCACTTCCGTTAATATCATTCCAATTACTATCATACTATTATTATCTTCATCATTACCAGCATCACCATTATCATTATCACTACACGACAACCAAAACTAACACCCTTATTAAGATTATCGCCTATGTCATCATTATTACTATTACCTATGATGAATTCCATACACTGCATTGTAATAATATGTCTTGTTACAGTTACGGGTATCATATCTGTTTTGTTATTATCATTACTCTAAATGATATTGTTATCAAATTCCAGCGGTACATTTTTTTATCATTCATATCGTATAGGATTCCTGGTTAACAAACTGCAAATAAAACAACACCTTTTCGCTATGTTGCTTCTTCAGCGAAAAGACCATCGCCATATTCGTGTGTTCCCTCGTTTTTTGCTTTGTTGTTTTGTTTTCAATCCTATTGTTATTCTTAATAGCACTATCAATTGTGACTCTTATCACTATCATTAACGAAATTATCATAATTATCATTTTATCAATATTACTATCATTTCCATTACTGCCACTACAATAATCATCATCATCATTATCATTATCATAGGTCCTTGTGGTTCTGATAGCATAATTAACACTGAAATAAATATATAAAAAAAATAATAATCACAATAATAATTATAACCGTGATAATGATAACAACAACAAAAATACTAAAATTATAATCACAACAACAATTTAAATAACAATAATGATAATGATAATAATATTATATCAATATTATCAATACAATATTATCAATATTACGATAATAAATACGCCGTCGGACAAATGCAATGCAGCACACGAAGTTAAATAGAGAAACAGACAGACAAACAGA